CGATGGGAAACCTCGCTATCGCCCGTCCAATGCCGCGCTAAACCATGGACGGCCGGGATGCCTGCTATACAGATGCCAAGCTATAGCTGGCATTCAGCCCAACGGCTTAGTGAAACCGATAACAGCCGACTACTACACTGTTCCCCTCCAATTGATGTTTCAACGGACCCATCGCAGGTCTCACATAGGCAAAGGAACTGACAGATGGCAGTTGTTGATAAGAGTTGAAAACGGGGCCCATCACTAAATCCCACCATTGAATATCCAAACAGTTGGCAAGCCCGATATATCCGCACATGGCCAGGTTTTGAATGGACGGCTCGAATTCATCCTTTGTCTGAGACACACATACACGAACACCGTCTATCTTTCTTCCCCTCTACTAGGTACTCCGGGCGGGTACATCCCCCCCACTATCCAAGGACAATAGATGGTGCCAGAATAGGGAAAAAAAGCGACCAGCGATGGATACAATTTTATCATGCACCGTTTAATTGGTAAATCGCTTTCGGAGTCTATTCGGCTCCCGTTCCAGAACGCGATACCGACGGCTCACGTGGCGACTCAGAAATCCTTTCAGTGACCAGGAATCACGGGGTTTGTCGCTTTCGGGGGCATGGTGTGACTGTGATCCATGCTCCCTGGGGGTTTGGGGATAGTAGTTGTTTTGCTCTGCGGGTGCCAGTGATTCTGCGCCCATTATCCCATGAGAGATCCTCGAGGTCACTATCCTTTTTCCCGTAAATGATAGAGTTTATATTTGGCAAGCCACTAAGTGGGAGATGTTTTTTTTTCTCGAAGTAAAAGAGGGCTTAGTCTATACGCTGTGGATTTGGTTGCGGACCGGGGTTGTAGGAAGGATTGCACCTGGCAGTAATCGATAGATACGGGCGTGGATAAGGCGGGGTTGCTGATTGCACGGATTTCTTATGATGGATGGATCATAATATGAGATAACGGCCCGAGTTAATGCAAAGTAACTGGACAGACAGTCAAAATGGATGTATAAGGGGAAGTGTTGGCAGTCAGTCGTCTGTACCTAACGCCTTTTGCTAAGGGTAATTTTTCCTCCCCAACAACCCGACATTGTACCGAATTCTGTAAGACTGGAATGCGTACGGAGTACCAATAAAACAGAACATCCGACCATGGGCCCGCCAGCGGCACAGAAACCTCGGGACCGTCGGAGGGGCAGTGGAGTCAAAGTAGGGACCGTCCAATCACCCATCCAGCTATGGGCTCTGGCAAAGTTTCCTCTGGAAAGCACGTGTTTTCCCCACAGGAAAGACTCAATTAACTGAAGCCTAACTCTGGAGTAAAGACCGGGCTTTGACCATCTAGACAATAATAACTTCTAGAATTAAGACCATCCATCTCATGCGAAAAAAGTTACCGATTAACTTTGCCAACGGCTGTCGCTGTCAGAGCGGAAATTGCAGGGTCGTGATTGGCATGACTAAGATTATCCTTCGTCTTTATAAATCATATGCAACCTGGTCAATTATTGACGTCCCTAGAATGAAATCCCCGGGTCCCCTCGGATGACGAGAGAAGAATGAGCAGAAATTCTGTGTCCCCAGGAGTCTCTTGGCCCTATCGCCCAACCAGAGGCACATTGGGTTGCATAGCCGTGACATAATGGGAAATGGAGTTCCTCTTGGAACTTTTTCCGCTTTGTAGGGGTTCCATGAACGGACTAGTAGTCGTACTGGGCTCCATAGAGAGGGAGTTTCCTTTGTCTCACCGCATTCTCGACATCACACCGCCGAATATCGAGGCCGATTCGTTCGATTTTAGGTTAGAGTCGAGTCAACCGAACAACCGAATTCAAAATAATAAAAAGGGAGCATTAGACAAATCCTGCTGGGTTAATATTAAACTGACGTTATAAACATGTAACGACCATAATCCAATCCCGTCTACGGAGTACTAGTCTATGACTGCAGAATCAGTCGATCACAGGTACGTATCAGTAAAATATACTCTTGTAGATCGGAAAATCCAGTTGATACATCGCCACTTCATCACTCCTAAGTCACCGGGCTGCATGGATCTGAGTTCAATAAAAGGCCACTTAGCAACCCTATTGGCCCAACAAAACCACTACTTCATGCTTGTCCCGAAGAGAAGTACTACTTGTACTCTGTAGTTCAGAAAGAAAAACGAACCCCGCTTTCTCATTCTCTCTCCCTCCGGTCATTGCAGGGATCCGCGACAACGTCGACCAGAGAATGGCTGCCCTGACTGTCTGAACAGGGACACTGGTTGACTAAAACCCGAACACATGCCAATAATCGGTTTCCCCTCCAGATCACACACACACACCTCACTTAAAGATCCGGATCCCTCCCGTAGAAGCTAGTAGTAATTGCTGGACCTAGAATCGTCCTATGTTCTATTAAAACACAGTACAAAAGGCCATGGCGTTTCTATGGCTATTTGTGGCCTTTGGCTATCTACTTCTCTACGCATTTGCCTCTCTGCAGATATTCGATGCACAGGACCTGTACCTGAAGCGCATCGCAAACTGAACCCGACACGGTGGAGATGTCGATCAAGCAAACGGATGGAATGGACATGGAGGGGAAACGGGAGGCAAGAATGATGAGTCCTCGATCGAACTACTATGTCTACTTTGGGGGCCCCGCCCCTTAAATTGTCCCTCGTTTGACACCATATCTGAAATAATGCAAGTTTTAGATATCGGCACGGGGTTGTCGGTATCAGTCATTCGCTCTGCTCTCTTGCAGTCAAGATTCGAGCCCAGCCGAAGTCCGATTATATTTATTCGGGATGGACCCCTGGCTATCACAACATTGATCGGATACAAGACGGTTCGTATCAAACGGATGGGTTGAGATATGTGCGACTATCGGTCTATAAGGTGTTGGTGATGATGAGACCGTTGTCACAAGACATGGTCGTCTTGTGATGTATGGGTGGATTTAGGGGGGGGGGGGCTCGAATATGAGATATGATATATCCGGATGGGACACGATATGTAACGCTGAGATGTGTGATGATTTGGGATTTCGTTTTACGCTTCTGAAGGCAACCCCTAATGATTCGGCGGGGTTGGGTATACGGCGCTATGGGAACTGGAAAAGGTTGGAATGGGTTGGTGTGGATCATCTTTTGAAATGGAATCCATTATCTCTCAAGTTCATTATTGTCTATTCAAGTCATGATGTTACTCTTTTTTTTGTAGGTCGTATCAAAGCCATGCCTCCACATGGTAAATAGTCTCTTCCACCAGCGCCTAGAAGACTCGACTCGTCGTCCGTACGGAGTACATCCATTTTCCGACTTATTCATTCCAATACTCGGAGAACATCCGTGAAATAAGACTGATCACATGTGCCCAGTCGCGTGACGAAGGAGATGTGGGAGCCTGTTTTCCGCGCCTTGCCGGTAAGCCAAATACTATTGAACAGCCACACATGTAGTCGATGTGCTGCACACCGAGTCAGTCGGAACCAGTCCACTGGGTGATAGCTCAGAGTTGGTCCTTTCCAGCTGGACTTCCTCGGCTCCGATGAAATACACTGTGCCTTGCCGTGAAACAGGGTACATCATTAAGCTCAAACGGCGAACCTGCACACCAACTTGGCGACATTTATACTTCATAGTTCCCAAAGCTTTTAGAACCAGATCTTAATCAACTCTTCACTAACAGCACTTGGTGTTAGGACGCCACTGTCTGTGATCAAGGCGGATATGAGATGGGGCGGTGTGAAGTCCACCACATCCGAACTATGAGCTACCGACTGTGGCTTGTGTCCATCAGTGATATCTTCTTCGGTGTTGAAGTCAATCACTCGTTGTTCAATGGGTAAATCATATTGCCCAAGTGGATACAGTCGGACAAATTTGTGGCTTTCCGCCACAGCGTAGAAAGGCTTTGCCATAGCCTTGGCGAGAAGGCCAATCTGGTAGGTTCCCATACGAGACACAATGCCTCCATTTTCCACCACACCTTCCGCACCCACGATGACAATATCCGCCTTGCCGAGTGAGTATGCCACAGCTGATTCTGGAATCGTAGCGACAGGGACACCCTTTGCGCGCAGCGCGCGCACTGTTTCCATACCCTCAGGCTCCGCGGAAGAGTCCTTAGCGGGAGAAAGGACATAAATGACACGGAAACGTACCGCAGAAGGCCCACCCTTCTCATCAGCGGCCTTCTGCAATAATGAAGCGACGACTCGGGATCCACCGTTCGTCAATACTGTACTGCCATCCCGAACAAATCCCCTTCCAAACGCAGCAATCTTGTCTCGGCTTTCCTTTGCACGTCTGATGAACAACCGACCGTTCGAGAGAAGATGGGCTCTGATAGCGTTGAAATCTCCAGCGGGCCCTAGCTGACCTGGTCGCTGTAGCGTAGTAATCAGATACCGTTGGAAGAGATCGGTTCCAGCCGAGAGACCAATGGGGTTAGGGATTGATTTTTTCAGGTGAGCAGTAGACTTTTCGAGTAAATCGAGGGTTTCTGATATCGTCGACGAAGGAGAGTGTGTGAGAAGTAATACCAAAGCTTCGATGGCAGCAATTGGCATTGTCAAGTCCGGATCTGAGTGAAGCAGCTCATTGTAAGTTGCGACAATACTGGTGATAGATTAGTCTATTGCAAGACTCGAGATTTAGCAGTGTATGAAACTCACTCGAAGGGCTTTCCAGCTTCTGATGGTGCCGGAGTAGTGGACGCCATAATGACTGCTTGGAGAACACTTGGTGATTTGATTGTCTTCAAAAGCAATAGAACTCAATATGGCGAAGAGTCATCGAAACCTTGAAAGAGACGTGGGTAGTGTTTGTGCTGTTTGTATCGGTGCCCCTCTCAAGTCGCGCTAGTCCTGTTCGGTTGCCCTGCGAGGCCCTTGGCGGTAAACAATCATCATAACATATACACAGCAGACTGTCAACTCACTACCACGATTATTTTCCGTCTCGTATCGTTTCTGTCGTACTTCAGTACAGAGTGAAGTCTGTCTGATAAGATGGCATATAATCATCGAATGAGTCAGCAATTTCGTGGCTCCCAGCAGCAACACGGCAGAGGTCGCAAGAAGGAAGACGAGAACGATGCATTAATGCGCCTGGTCAGTATATTGCTTAGCTTAAGCAGCCATCTGCCCATTAATGTAATGATCCTCTAACAATGACAATAGCCCGATAAGGAGATTGCAGGATGTATTAATGATATCGGTATACCTTTCACTTCTGCAGACCTTATCAAGCCGAACCCCCAACAAATCCAGATGGTATTCGAATGGTTCGCTGAACTCCTCATGAACATCACCCATGAAGCAGTGGAGCCTGCGATGCGCGCAGCGGCAGATGATGTTGGCGGCGACTTTCCCGATATTGTTCCTGCCGATACACGGAACCTCATGGGGTTCTTCGTCAGCCTAAGAAAGCTTATGATGGAGGTGGGTGAACCCTTTGCCAGGATTGTCATTGTGTACATATCCAGTGAGCGCAGCTAACTCGTCTCACAATATAGTGCGGAGTCAATGATTTTACGTTTACGGACCTAACAAAGCCTACGCACGATCGCTTGGTCAAAATATTCTCTTATCTTATCAACTTTGTTCGATTTCGCGAGTCTCAAACGCCCGTCATTGATGAGCATTTCAACAAGTCGGAGAAGACCAAGGCCCGGATTGATACCTTATATGCAGAGAACCAGGAGATGGAGCAACGCCTGGAAGAGATGCGCCGGAATCTGCGGGCCAACGAAGCACAAGTAAAAGAGAAAGTTAGGAGAAACGATGAATTAAAAGCGCGACTACTCGAGTTGAGACGAAACCAGGAGCGGGTTGCCGAGACATTGGAACGAGTCAAGGCAGATAAAGCCAGACGGCAAACGCAGCTAGAGGAGAAGACGGAGAAAGTCGTGCGTACCCGACAAGAGGTTGAGAAGCTCCGCCCATATGCTATGGAAAGTCCGGTCAGTCTTCAGGCCACTCTGACCGAGCTGTCGGAGAATTTACTACGTGAGAAAGCTCAAATCGATGCGATGGAGAAAAGGGCGAGAGCACTTCAAACTTCATCAGATACGTTCACGGTCGTCAGCAATGATGTCCAGGCTTGCGTTAGGCTTCTTGAAGACATTTCTGCGGAGTTGCAAAAGGAGGAGGATGAAGAATCACGAGCATCTCGGAACAAGGAAGCGATCTCAGAAAGAGGCAACAGCGTCAGAGAAGTGGAACAAACTGAAAAGTTGCTGCAGCGACAGTTGGCAAGATGGAATGAAAGGATTGAAACTCTGCGAAAGAATGCGCAAGAGAAGGCAGAGGCAGCGCAGGCCCGCATGGAGGAACTCCGGGATGTCCAGAAACAGCTTCGTGAAGAGCGCGCGGAAAAGCAGCGTGATATGGAGAGAAGGAGGATTAGAATTGAACAAACGGAGAAAAAGGTATGATATCAGCCCCTTCGTGGTTGTTCCGATGGCTAACTCGCATCAGATGGTGGACCTCAAGGAAAACATCGAAAACGAAATTCAAAGTGCCCATGATGAATATTTGAGGCTGGAATCACATATCAAGCTCTACATTACCGAAATGGAAAAATGCATATGAGTCATGGAGTCATGTTGTTTGTTTTTTAGGAGTTATATGGTCGGCTCTAGGATACCCGGTTGGTTGCGGTTTTACACTGGCAGAACGGTAGTACATAATTCCACAACAGAACACTACTTCAATCCATTGATTGACCCAGTGACGCTAGTAACTTCATATAAGCGTGGTATCTGGGGCAGGTTGGCTTGATTCGATAAATTCGAACCATCGTTGGGCGACCCTGTTGACAGGCACACTCCGTCCGAGCCAAGCACGTCCCCCCCGTCGCACTGAACTGTTAAGCAACGGGACATTAGTGTACCATAATATCTCGCCCCGTTCATCCTCATGGTTTGAAGCATTTTGGCATTCGCAAAGCACAAGATCCATTCCCTCTCTTGAGGCAGCCTCAACGGTGGTCGCAAAAGTCCTGGATAACCCCTGCGCAGAGAACTCTGAAGTTTGCAGGTGCAAAGCTACTAAGTCAAGAATGGCCATTAAAGGCTTCTGTGTCTTTTGTTTTTCGGCGACAGGCCCTTGCATGAGATCACCAGATGAAGGTAGCACAGCGAGATAAGCTCGAAGATTCTCTAATGTCGGGCAGTAGACGAGCTTGATTCTGCTTGAATCTGAGAGTAGTCCAATAGTTTTTGTAAGGATTGGGTGGCTCTCTGCAGTTTCGCTTGAATGAGCGCGCGTGATGGCGAGCAACTGCTTGAGAAAAACATCTCGAGTTGAACAGACGACTAAAACTGTTCTGTTGGCGTCATGATCGAGAATGTATTGTACCAAGTCTGTCACCCAGTTGCCAATATATACTTGGCGGACTGGTGTGCTAGTGGTCATGCTTGTCCGTATGAAAGGCAAATAAACGAAGCTGATGGAATGAAAGATGTCGTCATATTTAAATGACACAAACGATTTCATTCAGACACCTCAAGCAAGGACATTGTTTAACACTAATATTTAATGATGCGTCGCGCGATGCCGGCAAGTTGAATTGGAGAGTTGCGGGGAGACGGGCAGCAGTTCATCTAATTAGTTCCATTTATTAGGTGTTATCGTCACCTGCCCACTCTCCGCCGCAAACTCTCAACTCTTTCTACCCACATCACTTCCCCAGGGACATTACACCCCCTCAAAACCGGAGATTCAGTGTCTGCCCCAAAGAGGGCTTTGGGGTCAAGATGGAGACTATCTCCCGGATATCGTCGATGCTGGAAACAGGTAATAGAACTGCTGTCGTCCTCTCATGGTAGATCCCGCCGAATTGAGTAGCTGACTGTTTGTAGCTCGAGAGCTCACTCTTGAAGCAGCTCAGTCCGCAGCAATGACCAGAGGCTCCAGTACAGGCCTTACATCCCACAACGTGACCACCGCACATATCAAAAAGCTACTCGACAGTCGTCATGATCGGGAAGTCCTGGATGGCATGCGCAGGGTGATCACGGTACGGAAGAGCTCCGAATTGACTGAATTAATACTTTTAGCTGACATTACCTTACTTCTGTTAATTAGTTGATGTATCGCTCTGAGCCCTCCCTTCCTTTCTTCTCGGCAGTTGTCAAGAATGTCGCAAACGCGAATATCGAGGTCAAGAAGCTTGTTTACATCTACCTGGTTCACCACGCCGAGGCCGAGCCCGACCTTGCGCTCTTGTCCATCAACACGATTCAGAAATCGCTTACGGATCAAAGCCCCCAGGTGCGGGCCATGGCACTCCGCACAATGTCCGGCATCAGAGTGCCAGTGATCAGCCAGATCGTTTCCCTTGCAATTAAGCGTGGTTGCGGCGATATGAGCCCCCATGTCCGCAAAGCAGCTGCATTGGCCATTCCCAAGTGCTATCGCCTGGACCCGAACACCCTGCCGCAGTTAATAGGCTACCTCTCTACGCTGCTAGGTGATACCCAGTATTTCGTCGCTGGGCCGGCTGTCTCCGCTTTCTTAGAAGTTTGTCCCGATAGAATCGATCTTATCCACAAGCACTACCGCGGTTTGGTCAAGAAGCTTGTCGATATGGATGAATGGGGCCAGATCGCAACATTACGCCTTTTAACTATCTATGCCCGAAAATGTTTCCCCCCTAGAACCGAGAAAGTTAAACAAGCGGTATCGAAGGGCTTCTACGATGATGAAGAGGGAGATGACGAGGGTGGCAGGGAATACGAAGTCCCCATAGTAGATCCTGATCTTGAGCTTTTGCTGCGCTCCTGCAGGCTACTTTTACAGAATCGCAATTCCGCAGTCATTGTGAATATCGTTCGCTGTTTCCTGTATCTCGCTCCACCAGAATACCTTGCTGCAGTTGTTGGCCCTTTGGTCGCTCTACTCCGAAGCCCTCAGGACGTGCAGCATATTGTGTTATACAACATTGTCGCTGTTTGCTTGCGTCATCCCGCGCCTTTCAGAAAATATGTCTCTCACTTCCTCGTCCGTGCTTCAGATCCGCCTCATATCTGGCGTCTAAAGCTCGAGATTCTAACGATTCTTTTCCCTCATTGTGGTCTACACTTGAAGGGAGTGATTCTTAGCGAGCTCGAACATTTCTCCCAGGGAACGGATCCCAAGCTGGTGCGTGAGAGCGTTCGCGCAATCGGACGCTGTGCGCAAAGTGACCCTAGCACGGCTGGTCATTGTCTTCGCCTACTGCTCAACCAAATTATTAGCCTGGATGACAATCTAGTATCGGAATCCTTGACTGTGATTAGACATCTAATACAGCAAGATCCAGCTTCGCATGAACAAACGGTCATTGAGTTGGTGAAACACCTCGGATTGACGAATAACCCGGATGCTAGAGCGACTATTGTATGGCTAGTCGGAGAATATGCGGGTATAGACCCGGAGAGGAATTTTGCGCCAGATGTTCTGCGAATCCTGGTACAGGACTTCGCCAATGAGGCAGAAGCCGTGAAACAACAGATTGTTCTCTTAGGGGCTAAGGTGTATCTACACCACCTTCTAAGGAACCCTCCCAAGGAGGAACCTCAGGCAAGCCCCAAGGTCGAGCAGCAGTATAAGAATGAGTGGACCGACGATCAGGATGAGGAGAAAAACGAAGAAAACAACCACGATGAACAGAAATCTGAACCAGAGGAGGATCGAATTACTCTCCTTTGGAGATACCTCCTCCTCCTTGCTAGATATGACAGTTCATATGATCTACGTGACCGTGCTCGACTATACAAAAATCTTCTTTCTTCGCCTTCCTCGACGCAGCTTGCGAACTTGCTGCTTCTCGCACCGAAACCAGTGCCCCATGCCCCTAGCCCATCCGAGACAAGAAAGGATCTTTTGATCGGCTCGTCTACCTTGATTGTTGGCCCGGACGCGGGTCCTCATGGTCTCACAGGTTATGAAAACCTCCCTGACTGGGTTGAGTTAGGAAAAGAACCTGATCCCAGCCTTCGGGAGCCAGATGTCAAATCTGAGCTTACAGAGAAAGCACCTGCGACTGCAGGTGAACGCCTTGATAGAGCCCTACGTGAGCATCAGAACGCTGTCTCAGCTGCAAGTAGACAGCCGAACGGGCGCATGCCAGCAGCGTCATCGGCGACGAAGACTAAGACTCTCGATCAATGGTTAGAGGACGATGAATCTGAAGAAGAAACAGAGTCAGGGGAAGAGGTTACAGACTCTGAGGAGGAGACTGAAGAGGAGACTGAAGAGGAGACGGACGAGGAGGAAGAAGATGAGGAGGAGGAAGAGACCGAAGAAGAGACAGATTCGGATGACGGTGAAGAAGCAAGGCAACTCCTAGCCCAAAGTGATACGCATGTTCAAGGATCCTCGAAAGATGCACTTTGATGATTTGGGGACATTTGAAACTATATGAACCTTGGGATAGAAACATATATAGAGAACAACTTATAAACTCAATGACATAGACTTTTCGCTCAAGCTTGCTAAACATTTGAAAAACACATCAATAGTTAGAAGAGAATGACACCTACGCGAATTCAATCAAGTACTTGTAAATAGTTGTAAGAGATAGAGCCAGGGCACCCTATTCCACAAGGCCAAAAGGTCAGAATAATTCGGGATCAACGATCCCGAAGCCCTGGGACCGACTTATATAGGACCCGCCGTTACAATAGTGCAATGAATCTACAGTCATGACACCAATTTAGAGCATTGTTTACCAGATGATTATGGCACCTACTGACCAGATTTCCTATCGCAGGCCTCTACCTTAAGAAAGATTATCACAGCAGCCAGCTTTGGTTTATATGGGGATCCCTAACGACATATGTATGTATCTTAGCCTTACTTTGGATGATGCCACTAGCTCAAAGATATAGATATATAGAATGAATATATAATTTCAAAGATAACAATCTATCATGATATCCTAAAGTACGCCTAGAATTAAATAGACTGATATCTTATATATAACAAACCGCTTCAGTGCTTACTGATTGTCGAATTATTATATTAAATCCATGTGCCTTTTATAGGAGTTTCCTACATAAAAGGTACATGACTGCTGGGCCAGCCTGTCAATTAAGCTTGCGGGGTTGTGTGCGCCCCGAATCGTTCACTAGTAGAGCACTATATAAGGAACCCCATACACTGCTACCCCACCTCCCTTGCACGGCATATATCCTTCCACGTCTACCACGTGTTGCCATTCCACAAGATGGCACGGTCAAGCTTGTCAGAAATTCTGACGGCAGCGTCATTGGACTTAGCTCCCTACGAGGATCTTTACAAGTATTTCCATGCGCATCCCGAACTTTCTCGGCAAGAGGAATCTACATCGAAAAAACTCGCGGCACATCTGGCCCAGCTGAAAGTATATGAGCTTCATACCAACATCGGAGGGTACGGCCTAGCGGGGGTATTTCGAAATGGCGAAGGCAAGACTGTGCTCCTGAGAGCGGACATGGACGCTCTTCCAGTCAAAGAGATGACCGGGCTCCCCTATGCAAGCTACTCCACCATGCGCGATACGGAAGGGAATGAGAAGCCAGTGATGCATGCTTGCGGCCATGACATGCATATTACATGTCTCCTGGCAGCAGCAGAGACGCTTGTGAAGATGCGGGATGCATGGAGCGGGACTTTAATTGTGCTGTTCCAACCAGATGAAGAGCGAGGCGGAGGCGCGCAGGCGATGGTTGACGATGGGCTTTATTCCAAGATTCCAGTCCCTGATTACGTCCTTGGTCAGCACGTCATGAGAATGCGGGCTGGAAGTGTTGGCTCTCGCCCTGGAGCCATCATGGCTGCTGCCGACAGCATGAAGATCACCGTCTTTGGGCGTGGTGGTCATGGATCTCAGCCTCACCAGACGGTAGATCCAGTGCTTCTTGCTGCACACATTGTTATTCGACTACAGAGTATCGTGAGCAGAGAGATCAACCCAAGCGACCTCGCTGTCTTGACCGTCGGAAGTCTCCAGGCCGGGCAGACAGAGAACATCATTACCGACAGAGCCGAGATCGGCGTTGACTTTCGATCTGTTAAATTGGAGATCCGGGAACAAATCATTTCTGCAATTAAGCGTATTGTTGAGGCCGAGTGCGCGGCGAGTGGCTCGCCCAAGCCCCCGGTGTTTACCCCGACAAGACGCTTCCCACCTACCGTTAACGACAAAGATGCTGCATCTCACGTTGCCGCGACATTCGCGACTCACTTTGAGGACTTCGACGACGATGTACCGCGAACCAATGTTAGCGAGGATTTCTCTACGTTGGCAACCTGCCGAGGGATCCCTAGCTGTTTTTGGCTTCTGGGAGGCATTGACCCTGAACTTTGGGATCAGGCACAGGCGGATTCTCGCACAGAAGAGATCCCGGGGAATCACTCGGCGCTTTTCGCACCTGTTATCCAGCCAACGATGAGAGTTGGAGTTGATGCGTTGTGCCTTGCTGCCTTGACTTTCTTGAAAAAGTGATTACTCGGGGCGTGAAAGGACAATTGCGAAATTCTGTATAAAGAATCTTCAAAATTGTAGAATGCTCGTGAAGTTTAGAAGGCTACTAAGTATATCTGATAAACAGGTTGTAGCCATATAGTATTGACACAAATTGTATATATACAATGCGGAATATGCTGCGCTTGCTGGGATACATATGCGGGATACGAGGGATATCTGAGTCAAGTACACAACAAGCGGCCAGCACTATATACCCATTTGAGGACAATGCCTCAAGCAAATAAGTACCAGACGGAACTTGCTCGTTATGCATGGTTAGCGCCACGAGCTGGAAGCGCAGGTCTCAGTCCAGGGTAACGCCCTTAGTGAAAATAATAGGGGTTGTATACTTCGCAAGGGAGCAAAAGGCGGCGAGGGTCTAGACCCATTCCCAGAAAGGGAAAGCCCTAACATACCTAGTAGCCTCCGCAGATATGAGGTTATTCGATACTATTAACTACTCCGCAAGTGCTCCGTATATCATGTTGAGGCGAGCGACCCCACGTGCTCACTTATCCATTTTAGGGCCCACTTCAGAAAACAGGCGGTGTGGTACGGCACAATTCGAATTAATTGGATCCGCCGCGTGCCAGTGGCACCGCTATTGTGATGACCGCGGGTTATCGATGTGTCCAGATCCTCTGCCGATGATGGATTGATTTCTAAGAAAAATCATTCGAGATTTTATGTCAAGACCCGAACCCTGCCTGAACATTCTTCTTGCCATCATTTAGCCCTTGAGCTACACGGGCTCCGTTGGCACCGTTCACATACGTCCGCTACATCTGTTGGTCATGATGCGAACCACTGCAACAACTTCTCACACAGACATACTATCCTTCCTCGAGACGACCTGCGCACTATTCATTTCCATATCCCGACGCGTTCAGTGACCTCTCGCGCTCAGAATACCTCGAAACTTGACCCATTCGTTTTATCACCGTTCTATTATACCAGCATAGAAGTGTTTCCAATCATCAATTAGATTAATCCTAACAAAATGCCTGGCCTACCGGGTAAGTTAAGAATCCCACAGTTCCCTTTGTTTGCGTGTCTTCTAAACTAACTTTATCGTGTCGCAGCGAGTATCGACCTAGACGAGTGCATAGAGAGGCTCTATCGAAAGGAGTTGCTGGCAGACTCTGTGATTGAGGCAATATGCGCCAAAGCTAAAGAGCTGTTGATGAAAGAGAGCAATGTGGTCCATATTGCGGCACCGGTAACGGTAGTGGGAGATATTCACGGGCAATTCTTTGATATGCTTGAAATATTCAAGATCGGAGGCTTCTGCCCGAACACAAATTATCTATTTCTAGGTCAGTTCAGGGACGACACAAATTCGGTATTGGGTATTGGATCGGACTCGTTCAGCTAATGCCTCATACCTTTTTGCACTACAGGCGATTACGTAGATCGTGGTTTATTCAGTGTGGAGACAATCTCCCTTCTTGTCTGCTTGAAGTTACGATACCCTCATCGCGTGCATCTTATTCGAGGAAACCACGAGTCGCGCGGTGTCACGCAGTCCTACGGATTCTACACCGAGTGCGTGCGGAAATACGGCAACCCCAACGTCTGGCACTACTTCACTGATATGTTCGACTTCCTCACCCTGAGCGTGGTTATTAACGATCAAATCTTCTGCGTGCACGGCGGCCTATCCCCCTCCATCCATTCTATAGACCAGATTAAAATCATTGACCGGTTTCGTGAGATCCCTCATGAAGGCCCCATGGCTGATCTGGTCTGGTCCGATCCGGATACCGAGCGCGATGAGTTTTCCCTTTCGCCAAGGGGAGCCGGGTATACATTCGGTGCGCAGGTGGTCCGGAAATTCCTCGAAGTCAATAGCATGTCTCATATTCTGCGGGCGCACCAGCTGTGTCAGGAGGGGTATCAGGTTCTCTACGATGACCGGCTGAGCACCGTATGGAGTGCACCGAACTACTGCTATCGGTGTGGTAATCTTGCGAGCGTCCTCGAAGTGAGCGATACCGGCGAGAGGTTTTTCAACATCTTCGACGCGGCTCCAGAGAACGATGCCCATCGCAACGAGCAGCAAGCGCAGCAGAATAAGGACGGACAGAACCCGGTGATTGACTACTTTTTGTGATACCCTTTTTTTTTATATTTGTTTCCTTCCATGTCCCATTTATTCAATGCAATCTTTTCTTGTTTGGAGTTTGGTAGATGATGGGCAAAGCATTTTATAGACAGCATTGCGTTCAGATAGCGGTGAAGACTACCAGCAAATGAACACACAGGACTATATATATCTATCTATGTGGTATTTGTATGTCTGGAACACTTCGAGAAACGGGATCCAATTATTAGGACCTATATACAACAACCCAAGAAGTGTCTCATGGGGGTGTAGCTCTGAGAGAAGGTCAAAAATTCCAAGAACGCAGTTCCGTACAACGCTTGCAAATTTCAAAGAATGCTGGTCATGACAGAGTCGTAGTTCATCCGGGAACCGTCAAATCTACCAATCCTTCGCGATATCAAACGACCACTCGAACTGCAGGTGGGTGTGGTCGTCGTCATCCACGAATTTCGAAACCGCGTTGTAATGGCCCCGAGCGATCATTCCGGAGGGGGCCTCTTCCGCGTGGACTGCAAAAGAAAATGAGGGAGTTAGCACCCAGATGACGGCCGCAGATGTACCAGAGGCAGAGCACACTTACACTTCTTCTCGTAGACGGGCTTGTCGGTGGTGTTGGGGGCATAGCTGCCCAGCATCTCTTCGTCCTTGCTAACTCGAATACCCTTCCTCTTAACGACCTGCAGGTACTTCAGACCGCTCAGGACCTCATGGTGCACCTGGAAGACGACCTTGATCCGGAAGTGGGCACCCTCCTTGATGGTGAATGGCTTGTCCTTGAGAGTATCAACTGCACCGGGCGCGGACACGTCAATGACCACATCGGACCGTCCCTCAACCTCCAGGGCGAGAGACTTGATAATGCACTTTCGGGGATCGTTGGGGTCTCCAATTGGTGCACCGGTTGCAAGACCTAGGGAGGCCTTCCAGCGGTTTAGGGATTCGTCATTCTTATCTGGCGAGGATCAAAGTTTAGCACAGGCGTACAACATGGTGGAAGGGGATTAAACGGCCAGACTAGCTCGGGTGGCAGCTGGAATGGAGGTTTGGAGACCCATAGGTCCCGTTCTTGCATAACGGCAAGGGGCGATGCCACGAGACAGGGTGGTGCATAATGAAATTCGAGATTCAAATATGGACGGAGCGATCCACATACCAAGCTCAGTGTACTCATTGATTGTCTTCTTCTCTCCGACCTTGAAACCCTCGGTCTTGGAGGCAACGAGATCATCCTGCTCGGACATTGTGTCGGTAGGGGCTTGGTGGGGTATTAGTATATATGGTAGTGTAGCGTGAGGGAGTTGGAATGACTGAGGACAGAGAGAGTAAGTAGATCCGGGGAGGAGAAAGGGGAGATATACGCAGCGTCAACGGGAATCCACAAACAAAATTAAGTCTATTTTGACCCTACAAGGATTTAGGTGGGAGTAGCAAAAAGAACAGCAACAATGAAGACTAAGAGGGGCGGTTTTGTTTTGTCGTAGTCAAGCATCGGTGGGGGATTCGTTGGCTCTCAGCCCACACAGTGGGGTGCAAAGAAAGGCGGTGGACAAGTTTCAGGGGAGGCCCAGAACGACGACCCTTTTTAAGACATTGATCCAGATTGATATCCTCGCTTCTCCTGGTCTCAGCAGGGAGATTTATGTTTTGTCTTGCGCTTTTGCAAGGTCAATCAATGGCTTTGTGGTGACAACAACAACTATCTCAAAGTGAATTCCATTCGGTGCTGTAAATACATCCTTGGGAGCTGTCTGAGTCTCGGTAAACTCCAGTGGTGATGTCAAGATATACTCCATAAAGCAACAGTGACCTCTCTCTGCTTGACCCCTTTCCACTCTTCGTATGTATGTAAACAAACACGGTATGGATATGTGGCTGAGCCTTGAATGAGAATGAAGTGAAAGACAACCAAAGAAAAGTATCAATGGAACTGCTGCATAACATGCACCAGAAGACGGTCCAAGAGATCAATCAACTGTGACGAAACAATTCCTCAACGTATTTCCCGTCACGGGGCAACGGGATCTCCCACCCAACTTGATCAGGCCCTAAGGCACTAATACGGGTGACATACCCAATATTGGTCTCATCAGATACCGGGGATCAGCCGGTAGCCGCCGATCCCTACTGTTCAGGGAATGTCACATGACCTACACACACGGCTATTGGTGGAGGATACTCTGGTCAACCTGAGTCCATTACTGAGTACGAACTGATACGGTATGTCGGGCGTACAGACCTGAGCAATCGCCCGCCCGGCTTCCACCTTCATTTATTATTTTCCTCCCCTACTTATCGATTCTCGTATTGATCTTGAGTCAGTTATCACCTGGCTTGTCGCGGGTCTATCGTCTGTGTCCCACAGGTTAAATCGTCCGCCAAGTCGATCGTGATATTATCATCAGTGCATTCTCCGTGGTGACGTATTATCACCGAACCCTCGAGCAAAGCAGCGAGAGACGCGCCTGCAACGTGGCCGACGTTCTGGCGTCGCATCCTGCTTCACATCACCTCGGAAACTGCTGCCACAACATTCAACTCTCAGCTCTAGTTTAATATTTGACCAACCTGACCATTCATCATGGCGCGCTTACTGCCAAAGAAGAACAATCCCCACATCCTCCCATCTGAGACTCCCACCTGTAAGTTCCGACATCGTTTTGTCGCGCGATCCCATGGCTCGCTCACCTCTCATCGTGCTTCGGCTTCAAAGTTTGCGCATGGCTGACAGATACATCTCATTGCGACCGTAGACGAGGAACTCTTGCGGTGCCGACGTTTGGGAAAAACAAATCTCACGGTGAGACCTACAGTGATCGGCACGTCGAATGCGACAAAGCCGGAGAACCTTGGACCCTTCGAATATGCGCATTTGCGCGTGAAACTGCCCAGGGACCTTAAAGGCTCTGAAATATTTCCTTCACATAACACCCAGCAACAACCAGAGACGTACTTTTTGATGGTGAGTCGCCTTTCTGTACCCACCTATCGGAGCCAGTGGCATTGTGTAGAACCGAGAATTAACGCGCGACTCTTTGTCAACACCACAGCGACGCAGCAAAGATGGATACGTGAGCGCTACTGGAATGTTTAAGATTGCCTTCCCCTGGGCAAAATTGGAGGAGGAGCGGTCTGAGCGTGAATATGTGAAGGCTCGTAAGGAAACCAGCGAGGATGAAATCGCTGGAAATGTTTGGATCTCGCCAATACTAGGTAGGCCCGTTCAATTGGTGCTACTCGCAGACAAATCTAACGGCTCGGTAGCTCTCGAGTTAGCAAAGGAGTATCAGATGTATGATTGGGTGCGAGCATTGCTTGATCCCACCGAGATTGTTCAGACCCCATCCAGTACGAAGAAGCACATGCAGATCACCCCACCTCCTCGATTTGATCTGCCCCCGATTGAAGCTCCAGCCCAGCTTACTGCGGCGCCGCGCCTGCGAAGAGGCCGGTCTGCTTCCCCCAGCAAAAAACTCCCTTCCCCACAAAAGCTTGCTTCCCCGCGCAAGGCTAGAAGCACAAGGGCTAGGGACGTCAAGGAGGTGAAGGAGGCAACCAGTGAGGCAAATGCAAACCTCCAGTCTGCTTTGGATGCTACGACCGAGTCCGGATCGGTCAATGGCACCATTCAACCCAGTGTGGAACGCGATGAAGAGAGGGTGGCCCCTACTCCTAAGAAGTCTGCTTCAACACCAAAGGCCACGAAGACACCCAGAGCTACTCGGGCGAAGGAGCTCAAGGAGCTTAAGGAGCTCAAAGAGGTCGAGGAGGTTGAGGAGACCAAGGAGGAGAATGTCAAAGTGGAGGTTGAAACCAATGCCGACGAAGCCCAAGATGTGCAAACGACCCAGACCACCGTCGCGGTGGAATTACCTGTTTCTCTCCTTCCTGATGCTCCATCTGCGGAAGATACCGAACAAATGATCGCCGAGGCTAAGAAAATGGTAGAAGAGGCGGCTAAGGTTCAGAGCACAGAGGAGGAGCCCGTGCCATCGTCATCAAAGGCTGCTAAGAAGCGCAACATCGAAGAAGCGCTCAGTGACGACGAGGAGGACGAAGAAACAAAGGCCCTGCGGACTAAGAGGGCAAAGGTTTTGGAAGAGAAGTTGAAGCGTGAACGTGTTAGGAACCGCGCTCTTGTCGGCGTCACTGCTGCTTTTGCACTTGCGTAAGTTGGCCGACTTCCCTTGCTGTTTATTCCTGATCTAACACATCACCAGGGCTTCCATTCCTTATTTCTTTTAGAGGTTCTATTACCAACTGTATTGGGCGCCTTCCTATGGAACAATTGTCCCGAGTGACCGTCGCGTTTTCCATCGATGAACACTTCCTTTCCCGAACCTCATCCCCATTCACCTTCGGTTCTAGATTGTTCCCTCCTTTCCCCAGGAAAGGGATCTAGTTCTCTCGACCTGTATACCCTCTCCTGCAACCCCTCTTCTAGCTGTATTGTGGTTTTACCCTCACAGAGCTTCCTGATGTATCGTATTTACACCTTAACCCTTTCTAATTTTTGCGCTTTGGTTGCAAGAAGGAGAGCCCTTTTCTCGGAAATGGTGGTCATCGATCGGCTTTTTGATTCCGCCCGGTGGTCCTGGAGATCAAAACACTCTCTACATGCGCATTCTCCTATTTTTCCTGGATACCTGATATACTAACTATAATCCTTTGTTTCTTTTCGCTGCCTCTATTGATCGGATGGTTTTTGATGGGCACTCGGGATGGTCTCTTATGGTTCGGTAGCACAGGATGTGAAATGCAAATGCAATAAAAAATGAGATGATGTAGCCATGGTGTTCTATGCAGGCTGTTCTCTATAACTCTGTAGAAGTAGGGTTTACTGCAGAGTAGGGCATTTTGTAAACCGACGTTGCAGTTAGGTTAGTCTGGAACCTTTCCGCTGCAAACATGATAAACACCGTCACCTCCGCCGTTAGCTTTGATAATGATCTTCAAGCTCCCCGAACATCTTGTCGTGGTTTGTTAGGAAGTAGCGCACGTTTCTTTTTTCTCGTTTCGTTTTAGAAGATAGGATCAGTCGATCCTAGCAATGCCATGTCTCTCCCCGGTCTAGACCTTACACAGCCGACGGCGGACAACCAATTTGCGCCCGCACCGCCGAGCCAAATCAGCCTGTCGAAGGGCTCCGAGTGGAGATTTGAGGTTGCTTTCGGCACAGTTATTCGAGTCAAGGTGAGTAGCTCAACCACAGATCCAGTTGCGACCGGTACATGAAAGTTATAGCGCGACTGACCTGTCCTCCCCAACAATTGGAGGGTAAAACTATAGCTCCTCGCCGGCACCGCAGAACTCTTTGGCACCGAACTAGCTCCGTCTCAAACATACACCTTCTCGGGGACGAAAGGCGCAATATACACCTGGCATGGCTGCACACTGGAAGTGAGCGCGGGGGATACAGGGCCATCGGTCGACAGATTGGCACCGGGTGGACTGGGCGGCGCGACACCTCGCGGGCTCGGCGCTGGAGGTTGTCAAAGCGAGTACACGGCGGAGGAGACCCCGATGGTTGAATACGCCAATGTGCATTTTGCGCTAGAGACCATGCGTCAGGAGGCGAAAGCGACAGGGAAGGACGGTCCGCGCGTGCTGATTCTCGGTCCGGAAAATGCGGGAAAGACTAGTGTCGCGAAGATCCTGACGGCGTATGCTACGAAGGTGGAGAGGCAGCCTATCGTTGTCAACTTGGATCCGAACGAGGGTATGCTTAGTGTCCCCGGGACGTTGACGGCTACGGCGTTCCGCACTATGATGGATGTGGAGGAGGGATGGGGGAGCAGTCCGATGTCTGGGCCCAGTGCTGTGCCTGTGAAGCTACCTTTGGTCTACTTTTACCCGATGCAGAATCCGCTGGAGGCAGAGGGGTCTGTTTACCGGCCTATTGTGTCGCGGTTGGCGCTGTCGGTGATGGGACGCATGGCAGAGGATGAGGAGGCTAGGGAAACCGGTATCATTGTGGATACGCCGGGGGCTTTGAGTCAGGGTAAACCTGGAAGTCTTGAAATGATCAACCACATCGTGACGGAGTTTTCGAGTATGACCTTGGCTTGGTTCACTTATTGTGTAAGGTGTGCATGCACTGACGGATGACAGTTACTACTATCCTTGTCATTGGCTCGGAACGGCTATACAGTCTCATGATGAAGAACTACGATAACAAGCCGACGTCTGGCGCATCGGCCGTGGCCTCGGACGAGCGCATCACGGTGGTGAAGCTCTCCAAATCCGGCGGATGTGTCGATCGCGACGCAGCATTTATGAAGGGTGTACGGGAGTCCCAGATCCGGACCTACTTCTTTGGAAACCCTATCCCGTCCACTGCGTCTGCCGCTCTTTCGCTCTCAGCATCGTCCACTACCAATGTGACACTATCCCCACACGCCCAACAGCTTGAATTCAACACACTCAGTATCTACAATTATACCATCGCATCGCTAGAGGAAGACGAAGACGAATATGACCCGTCTCAGCTCGGCGCCGGTGACTCGTTCCTCCCCGGAGGAGGCAACGACGCGGAAGTCAGCCAGAGCCAGCAAGAGGAGCCTGCTCGAGCCACCCCTTTGCCCGGTATAGTTTCCAGCATCGAGAGCGTCACTCCAGCCCTGGCTTCAAATATCCCGTTGAAGAAAGTCCTCCCCCCTGCACCATCGACACTCGCCAACTCTCTCATCGCCATCACCAACGCGCCTACGACAGCCAGTGTGGCCGAGGTGCGGGACGCCAGCATAATGGGGTTCCTGTACGTGGCTGAGGTGGATAGCGAGAAGGGCAAGATTCGTGCTCTGGCCCCGGTGGGCGGCCGAGTGCCCCCGCGGGCATTTGTCTGGGGAAAGAAGTGGCCCGGAGAGGTGGTGGGATTGGTTGGATAGGGTATTCGTTCCTAGATATATACTAATTCATCAGTACTGGAGTTCGGCGGGTGGGCGCTGGTTCAATGATCTATCTACAAGTCTATAGCCGATTTCAATATGCATAGTCACGTTTACAACTACTACGAAATATGACCAGTCATGGCATCCACTTTCCCCCAGCCTATCAGGATAGTAGTCGCTGTGGGTATGTTGGTTGTAGTACCTAGTATTTTAGTGCAAGACTCGCCCAATGGCCAGCGATAGCAGTCCAAATGAAACCGATGAGGTCACCAGATAGAGATCAGACAATTACTGTGTATTTCCATCCAACTAAACCAAACGATGTGCTTGGCGCTCGCACCGGGCAAACCCAACACAGCCACTAACCAACAGGCCGCATGTCAGAAGTACTACGGAGGTAATGGCACACATATAAGCACCAGCGAAACCCCACGTAGATGGGAATTAGAATGCTCTACACTATACTATACTATACTATACTATACTATATATAACCCTCACCGGAAAGGTCAAGGGAATCTTACTAGTATAACTATCCTATATCATGAACTGGCTGAAACGGCTCCTCCCCATCACGGACCCCCAGCTCCGCCGGCAGAAAAAGGCCCAGCGACGCCGCGGTCGGCAGGCCCGGGCTCGGGAACGTGAACTGCGCCGCCAACGGGGGGATTCAGTTCGAAACACCAAGTTCTTTACCCGCGGAGGGCCCGTCGCGGTAGTCTGGTGATTGTGATTTTTGTGTGGTATGCGTTATTTGTACTCTCTCTCTCTGTGTGTGTGTCATTCCTCTTCTAATATTATCTATTATGTCCAGCTACCACGTCTGATATCCCACCATACTCAAACAGATGAGAGAAGTTAGAACCGCCACCGCCTCCTTATCGCTATCAATTCCCTCGATTAAACCAACCTCATACTCCACAAAACCAGCCAACACCACCCCTTACAAAACTAACAAGCAAAAAATAAACAAGAAGAGAAAGAGAACGAGGAAATGCTCCTCCCACGCCGCAAACTCAAGCGCCTCCTATTAACCATGCTCCTCCCATTCCTCCTAACCCTAACGCTACTCACCCCCTTCTACCTAATCTACAAGCCGCCGTCGCTACTCATCCGCTACTTTCAACACCGCTGGCCGGACACACTGTGGCACGTACCGCTCCCCAGCTCCAAGAAGCTCATCGCGCTGACCATCGACGACGCGCCGTCGGTGCACACCCCCGAACTCCGTGCCGTGCTGGCCGACAACGGCGCCCGCGCGACCTTCTTCCTGATCGGATCGCAGATCCCGGGCCGCGAGGCGGAGCTGCACGAGCTGGTACGGCAGGGCCATGAGCTGGGGAACCATGCAATGCGCGACGAGCCGAGTCGGAGTCTGAGTGACCAGGAGCTGCGCGAGCAGGTGCGGGTGGTGCAGGATCGCATTCGCGCGGCGTATTCGGCGGTTGGCGGGCGGGAGCCTCGCGAGAGGTGGTTTCGGCCCGGGAGTGGGTTCTTCAGTGAGCGCATGAGGGGCGTGTTGGGCGAGTTGGGGTTCAGGATTGTCCTGGGCAGTGTGTATCCGCATGATGCGCAGGTGAAGTGGTGGTGGGTCAATGCGAGGCATATTCTGAGTATGGTAAGGCCGGGCAGTATTGTTATTTGTCATGATCGGCGCGAGTGGACGGTGCCAATGCTGAAGGTTGTTTTGCCGGAGTTGAGGCGCAGGGGGTATGAGATTGTCACGGTCTCTGAGTTGGTTAGGGCTGGGGTAGAGGCGGGCACGTTTTCTGGGACGTGATGGTTATGTTTGTTTCTGTGTTTTAGTGTTTTTTTGGTGCATTGAAGCGTTTTTGTTTGGGTATGGTATATATTTTCGTGTTTTTGTTGTACATATCTTTTGTAGAATACACCGGACTGCTTTTGGGGAAGAGTACACTTTTGGCTAATAAACAGAAAACAATTGAATGAGCAGCTTGTTGAACAAGGGACAGAGGTCGCCTGCGACTCATTCCCATCTCTTCCACTCTTCCAGGTTTCTCCTAAGCTCCACATCACAGTCGTATCCCCGTGCCTCGTCTTCCAGTAACTGGCCCCTATGTTTCCGATACCGCTGCTCGGCGTCATACCGTTGCAGGGCAATCATGTTCAGATAGGCTAGGTCATTTTCCTCCACAGCCTCCCGGAATTGCAGCCGCATGCGCGGAGAGTAGAGCTGGCAGCTGGCCTCCCGGCAGCGAGCCAGCCCTTCACCAGGGGGCAGCCGCATCATGGCTGGGAATTTACGGGCGATGGGATAGTTGGCTTTGGCCATGGGCCACACTACCTCATCATAGCAGTCCTCGCATACCGTGAACTCCGGGAGTTGGGGCATGTAGTGCCACGTATTAAGCACTACCCGGCTACGGCGGCAGTCCCGGAGCACCACTTTCCGGCGAGCGTAGGCCATGAATTCAGTCAGCTCGGGCTGGGGCGAGTGCTCTTGCTCGGCACGGTTCGCAGCAATGTCGAGAAGGTCGATGTACCGGATGAAACGGGGGCTGTCCGTCACGAAGTCGCAGACCCGCTCTTGCAGAGCGGTGCAAAGCTTGAATGTGTCTTGGTGCGGGGGCATGAGGATTCGTAGATTCCGAACACATGCGGAGCAGACGTTGAACTTTGGAAGAAACGCTCCCGTGGCAGGGTCGACCACGCGGTACCAGTGCTGCTCGCTGACAACACGCCCTGTGCATGGCTTGGTTCCTAGAGGTGGCTGGGTGATCTGGCAGAGCAGGTGCAGATGGTCGAGTTGTTTTTGTATTGATTGCATCCAGGCAAGCCGGGTCCATGGCTCGCTCATTGCACAACGGATCTTCTCCGAGCGTGGCCGGGGGTTTCCTAAGATCAAGAGGTCACGGAACTTCGACTTGCGCATCTGGTTCAAGCACGAGGGGCAGATGTTCAAGTGAGTCATGCCTTTGATTGTGTACCAGTCCCGGTATCCTGCCACTGGGACAGATCTAGGGCAGGGTAAAAGACACTGGCCAGACCTGCTCGGAGATGGTGGGCGAACGGGTTGTCGGAGGCTAACCTGCAGAGACTGTAGCTGCTCGAGGGTATCTTCCAAACTTTTCAAAGAAGCGGGCTTTAGGGCCTCGGTTTGAAACGAAACAGTTCTTTTGGGGAGGATGGGAGCTGACTGTGCCTCAGGTGGTGGCACCAACTTGGGCACTGACGCTTCGACGAGAGAGGTTGGGCGTGGGCCTTTCTTGACTGATGGTGGGTCAATCGTTACCACTTTGTGTGCAAGTTGTGAACGGGGTGCCTGGTTAGCTGGCTCCTGGGTAGTAGGTGGATTACCTGTGGCTATAATTGGGCCACTGGATTTTGGAACAGAGACCGGGGTAGGTGGGTTTGTCTTCTGTGCGTCTGGGGAACCACTGGAATCTCTCTGTTCATGTTTGCGCCTCAGCTTCTCTTCCAACCTCTCAGCCAGGCTCAATGTTCTCGGGGATGCCGCGGAAGGGGTTTCATTTCCTTTAGGCTCCAGGTTTGGTCCTGGCTTGCTACCATGATCGTTTGCCTTAGTTACAGCTGAGTTAGGTTGCAGGGCACTAGTATTGATGCTCGCCGGCCGCTTTGGGACAGAAGAGGTAACAGGCTTGTTTGGAAGGGGAGCAGTGTGCACCTGAGGCACCGGTCTCGCGGAATCCTGAGGTTTTGGATTAGCCGGGAGTGGTTGCTTGACATTAGTTGTTGACTGTCTCGCAGGTTGGTCAGGTTTGACAGCCCACGACTCCTTTGTGACGGAAACAGACTTGCTTGGGAACGACGGTGCAGGCACTGGAGAAGACCGTTTGACAGCTTGCTGTGGGGTTGAATTGACTGGAAGAGGTTGCTGGACCTTAACTTCCGTGGGTCGGTTAGGTTTGATGCTCCCCGACGGCTTTGGAATAGATGAAGCCGACTTGTTTGCCAAAGAAGATGTACGCATTGGGGGAGGCGGCTTCGTGGCCTTTACTGGGCTTGAGGCAACCTGAGTAGGCTGCTGGACTTTGATTCCCGGCGGGTTAGTAGGATGGCCAGACACGGACCTCTTTGGAATGGTGGGCGCAGGCTTGCTTGGCAACGAAGAGGTTCGCACAAGGGTAGACGGCTTTGAAGGTTTCAATGGGGCTGGGTTGGAATTTGCCTTGTGCAATGCTGGGGGGCTGTCCTTTTGTGCCTTGGCGCTTTGAGGACTACAGTTCACTGGCTGAGAAGGTAATGGCCGATGACCAGTTGTTGGCCAACTGCTCTGTACTGGTTGAGGTGCTGGTACGCGTGGCTGGCCTCGAGGGGATGTGTCTCGAGACATGGGTGGTGTCGCCAAAGGCGCTGGCCTGAGCTGAGATCCTTGCTGTGTGGCATTACTAGCATCGAACAGGCAGGGCTGTTTGGATTCCGAGGGTGGTGTTGGTGGTCCAGAACTATTAGCAGTAGAGGTGCTTCCGTGGCCATAACCTCCTAGGGTCTCGGTCTGAACGATGGACGTGAGTGAGAACGTGTCAATGATCACCGGGTATTGATCAATAGATCCTCTGGCGCAGACTCCTTCGATTCCAGGCTTATCTCCTATCTTGGTCAATCCGTGTAGCTCCCGAGAGAGCGATTCAAACTCGTCTTCCACCGAGGGCGACGGTGGCCACCGGGGCCGCTTGTTCCAGAAAAACATGGTTGATCACAGGGAAATAACCAAAAAAGCAAGACAAGAAATAGAAAAGCAAAACTCCGGCAGGCACGATGTCGACAGTCCAAGACGAAGGGAAATATTGTACAGTTGCTTGGTGCAGCCAAGGGCTATCCTGTTGCAGCGGCGCGGTGGATTAGAAACTCTTTCCTGGAAACTGGCATGTTATGTTCGCCGTGACGAACTCACTTGGAGTTGCGAAGAGAACACGGTATATAAGCCCAGGTTGGATCTGGGTGAGACAGATTGGGCCGCAACTGAGAAGGCAGTGTGAAAAGAATTGACCGGAAGTGTGCTTTTTGAGTCCTTTGGAATTATTAATATTAATTAGCGGGATATTGGAGGTGTTTTAGTCTATTTGAAAATATAAACCAGAAAAAAGGGGAAAGTATGACAGTGTATATAAACCCCAATGAGAACCTGGTCGGGCAGCGCCTCTCGAGATGATGGCCCTATCAGGGCATCAGCCCAAGCATGGGGCGGAAGGCGACGAATCAGGCCATTGGGGTATGAAACACGGAGGTTGTTGCCAGACGCTGGATAGGAAGCTGTTTGGCTCTCTGCAGGCCAAATCAACAGGCACCGAAGTCAGAAAGCCACAGTCTTTGGTCGAGACCAATATGATAGACGTCCTTGCTGCACCTATATGCGAGTAAGTGTGGGACGAAGGCATCCATGGCGATGCAAAGGCGCCAGATCAGCCAATTTTCTTTAGATACCAGCTGAATCCCTAGCGGATCGACCAATAGCCATCGTTAAAAGTTTTCAAACAAAAAAGAATGTGGGTAAAGGTTGCAGGACGGCCGCCATATTGTGGGGGAGACAGTTGGCTCCAGCCTGCCCATACGTAGAAAGGCGAGGCGAGGCGGTTGAGTGAAGCGCGTCAGCCTCTTTCATCATTAGTTTCGATCATTGGTCCTTGTTGGGCCTCATTGCCCCAGACAAGTCGCCTTCTGCGGTCCCTGTCGGTCAAATTATAGGGTCCATGACGGCATTCGGCCGTTGTTGTCATGGAAGACTATGATGCCATTCCGGCCGTTGTAGGTAATTGCCAGCGCTGCGTTGGCCTGAAGCAAGTGCAGATGACCTCGGAGTCATTGTGGACTCTGAAAAATGTTTTACGCAATTAATAACGGATAGACCATCGATGCTGGGAGTAACACAATGGTAACTATGCAACAGTTGGGTTGTGATGAGATCGTAGGGACGATCTCGTTTGCTTGGGCATCATGTGTAAATGCATAAACCGTGATCGTGAATTAAACCTGACTAATGGGATTATGACAGGGCATGCACAAATCCCATGATCGGAGTTGATCCGTCGGGGATCAAAAGGAGGAGAAAAAAAGCCGACGGCCCTCTTCCGATGGCGTCATTCCCGACGGAAGATTACTTGGACTCTAGTCATAACAAGAAGATCACTAAAGAATGAAAAGAAAAGATTGCAAGGAGTATGATAGCACTTGCTATCAATTAATGGTATCAGTACTACTCAGTCAATCGAGCGAGATTGTAGATTCCTGATATCTCTATAAACCACGGAATCGATCCGCGATATGGAAACTGCGGGGAAGAGAAAGTCATGGATGATGAAGGACATTCAGACGACGAGATAGCAGTTCGGATGACAAATCAACAACAATAGTGATTTATGAAATGGTAACGAATTGCAATAAGACCCTTTTCGTGCTCGTACGTAAACCAAAGTATCCAACTACCCACCTGGTGGTGCTTGTTAAATTATTATCCGGAAGCCCCTCCTCGAATGTATCTTAACCGCTTCTTCGCAAGTCGTCTCACTTCCCTTCGTACAACTGCCACGAGGGCTACTTCACCAAGCATTGCCCGCCTCTCTGCTATCCGTGCTCAACTCAGTCCATCACTCATCTCACCATCTTCCTATCAAGCCCGCGCCATGTCCGTCCCATCGACCATGAAGGCCGTCATCGTTGAGAAACTCGGCGGCCCTGAGGTCCTCGAGTTCAAATCCGACCACCCCGTTCCGACCCCGCAGGAGGGCCAATTGCTCGTCAAGAACAACATTTCCGGTGTAAACTACATCGATACCTACTTCCGGACGGGTCTGTACCCATCTGCCAAGCCTGAAATTCTCGGCCGTGAAGGCGCCGGCACCGTTGTCGCATTGGGCCCGGGCCCTAACCCGTACAATTTCAAGGTCGGCGATCGCGTCGCCTGGATGACCACAGGCGGGTATGCCGAATACACGGCCGTCCCGGCGGCCAAGACCGTCAAGATCCCCGACGAGATCACCGACGAGGATGCCATCGCTGGTTTCCTGAGCGGCTTGACGGTTATCACCCTGGCCAAGGAGACCTACGCGGTGCAGAAGGGCGACTGGGTGCTGCTGCATGCAGCAGCTGGTGGTGCTGGGTTCCTCATGACTCAGGTTCTCAAGTCTCTCGGTGCCAAGGTGATTGGAACGGCAGGTGGTCCGGAGAAGGTTGCTTTGGTGAAGAGCCTGGGCGCAGATGTGGTTATCGATTATCGCAGTGAGGAGGGTAAGGACTGGGTTAAGAAGGTCAAGGAAGTCACTGATGGACGGGGTGTTGATGTTGTTTATGACTCCGTGGGAAAGGATACCTGGGAAGGAAGCTTGGAGGCCGTCAAGAGAAAGGGTACTATTGTTTGGTTTGGCAATGCCAGTGGCCCGGTGCCCCCTCTGCCGCTTCAGTATGTTCATTTGTTTTGTGTTCACCATGGTCTCATACTAATCGATTGAACAGAAAACTGTCTCCTAAGTGTGTCAAGGTTGCTCGGCCACAGCTGTTCGGCTACATTGAGACCCGCGAGGAGTTTGAATTCTACGTCAATGAGTTGTTCGGCCTCCTGAAGTCTGGACAGCTGAAGGTTAAGATTCACAAGGTTTATCCTCTGGAGCAGGTTGCCCAGGCGCATACCGATTTAGAAGGCCGGAAGACCACCGGAAAACTTCTTCTCAGGCCATGATTTATGCACAGGACATATATGTAATAAGAAACGTTATATCTAGTACAGTTATGAGAGTCGTACGCGTATGGAGGATTTATACCATCATGATATCTTCACTCTCTCGAGTTGTGCAATGCTTTAGAATTAGTGCAAAAATAAACTTGCCATAACACCGAAATAACAACATTAGCTTAGGATCGCATTAGGAGAAGCATGAACTGTAATCAACACTGCAACCAAGAAGGGGACGCTATGGACACGCTTAATGTAGAGCCTTTCGGATCAAGCAGAAGCTCAAGACCGATACTAGCTTACAGCGTTATCTCGTTCTTCTCAACACCATTACCGTTCGACTCCTCGATCTCCTCAGCATCGTCCTGTTCTTTTCCAGTCAAGTCGACTAACTGCTTATAGCCCAGCATAAGATCGTTGCAGAGAACAGTGTAGATTGAGCTGTAAACAGTATGAACGTCTTCAAAGAAGTTAAATCCGCAGTTGAGTTCCCACACCGGAGTGATCACTTTCATCTTGGGATAACAGAGCTTGAGCAGATTTTCTTCCAGGAAAAATTGAAAATCAGGCATCGAAGCAGTCCCAGTTTCCCATAACAATCTTTCCTCTGCACTTAGATCATAGCAAGGCTTTCCAGGATCACGGTACGCTTTACCGACCATTCGTCCAACAGGGTTGAGGTCAGGTGCGTGTTGTCTGTAGAATTCACGAATCTCTGGCGTGGGAGGGAAGACTGTAATCACCTCGAAGCCGTGAATATCTGGCACAAGTGTCGAATGCAATGTATTCTGGTTAGCCAACGTCTGGAATCGAAGGGCCATGGCATCTGTTCCCGAACCAGCCATCGCGAACTTAACCACTTTACGCGCGACGTCGTTTCTCATAAGAAAGTTTCCGTTGTTTCGGTTGTTCCAATTATTTTCCTCGACATTCACATCGTAGAAGAAGCCACCGAAGAGAGTAGAGCAGGCCTTGTTGAAATCTCCGGGGCTGGAGGTTGCGAACTCCTGATTCTGCCACAGTTCTTTGGCTGCGATGTCACACGACCTGCGCGCCTCATCGATATTCTCTTTGTACTCGGGGCACACCTCATGGCAGAGGAGATAGGAGAGGAAATTTCGGATCGTGACAGTGGCTAGCTTCACCATGTCCTCGGTTTCAGGATTGAAAAAGTATGGGAAGTAGGAGGTCCTGCCAGATGTTAGCCATATCAACCATACCTAATTGTAAACTAGGTTATCTTACAGGTATCCCTTCACAACAGTGTTGAAGTCGACTGTAAGCTTTGTACACTCCTGGCGGATGTTCGCCTGCCCCTTTGCAATAAGAACTTGCTCACTATCAAGTTTCTGGAGCTCTTGTTCATCCACTCCGGTGAACATCTTGGGACCGACATCGACGCCTCCGTATGCTAGATACCTCATGAAGACCTCGCGTCTCTCAGGATCCATGCGACGATTGTTCTGGTATCGCAGGATGGCGGCCTCAATGCGACTAGGACTGGATTAACACTTGGAGATCATATGACCACAACGAGAGCTTACTGGATAAGAGGTCTGGAGCTTTTCCACGGAATCTTCAGTTAGTTACAATCTCACAGCTGATTCGTTTAACTCACATGTCATATAGCTCTTTCTCTTCTTCATACTCCTTTGGAGTCATAGGTGCATCGACATAGTACTCCTCAAAACCGGTAGGCTTGCCCTATACGTAGTCAGATAAAATCGATGAGTCTAGGTAGACAGGGAAGTACTTGACTACCTTTCCGTGCTTGGCTTTAGACTTAGGCTTTCTCTTTTTCTTTCTCTTGGGCGCAACTAAATCCACAGTAGCCATATCTTTCTCTTCGTCAACAATGGATGAATGCACAGAGTTAGCTAGCTTAGCTTGCTCATCTGCAGTCAGGCTAGGTTGAGTCAAGGTAGTGTCACCATCGCCCGCAGTTGGCTGAGAGGTAGAGTCAGCTTGGTCTTCTGCAGCCTGAACAGGAGTAAGCAAGGACGATTCTCCATTGTCAACTTTTGTCTGCAGCTTAGACATGGCCGCACTACCTGCAGTCTTGACGGAATCGGTTACAGTTGCTTCTCCGTCGTCAAGACGCGGTTTATGGGAGGAGTTGGCTTGGTTGTCAGTGACCTCCATAGGATCAGTCACAGTAGGCATTCCTGCTTCGGCAGCTTCCTGGTGAGTAGGGTCCGGTTCATTGCCTATAGCCTGACGAGGACCAGTCAAGCTAGCTCCACCGCTGCCAACAACCGACTGGTGGGAGTCATTAACGTCCTCAAGGGGACGGAGGGGCAGGCTTTGAAGAGCCTTGATATCCTTAGAAGCCATAGTGAGATAGTGTCCTCTTGGCATCGGAAAGGGATACTCGGTGTAATGGGGGAAAGAAAGAAACCTTGGTCTCAGATTAGAACCAGGTGGTAGACTAGGGGAGATGAAAGAAGAAAGATCGAGTGAATGTCCCAAAACAGGGAATGGTGTGCGCCTAGGTATCAAATACTATGAATGTCTGCTCACTAACAAACAGTCAGATATCCGGTACTCTTCAGCTCGTTTGCAAATTTGTGTTTCATTTCTGTGTACCTATCTTTTATATTGTTTGTATGTAGTACAAAAGTCTCATCAGCCCGTAGGCAGGGATATCACCAGCAATGAAGCCTGCCTTGCTCTTTCGCTACTATTTGTTCCTGTTCTAAGACAGTAGTGATAAAACAATCACATTAATTGGTGTAATTTTTTTAAAATTAAAATCTAGAGACTCAAAGCTGTGAAATATAAATAACATATAGTATGGTATATTGACAATCTTCCATCGTTATTATTGCCACTGGTCACGATAGACTACTCGGGCCGTTCCGCTGTTGGGCCTTATCAGATCCAATCTGAAATACTGGCGTGAATGAGTGAATGCTTTTGACCAACTTGATGGAGGCCTCTCATACGTGTTGCTACGGGGATTTGCCTTATGATTTGAGCCGATTTCCTGCTTGTTCTTAGCCTTCTAGGGGATGTTGACTAGGGGAAAATGCCACATAAACCAACTATTATTGATTATACCTTGGTATTAGTGCATATTGTAGTTCTTAAGCTATAAAAATGGATATCGAGCCTGCGGATCATGATTCAATGATAGCACGGTACTGCAGGGTAAATTGTAGTCTACTTCTTAGAATAGAGAAAACCTTTTACGCCACTAATATACACCAACCCAACACATAATTCACTTGTGGCCCTAGTCCTTCTCCAGACCGAAGTATCATATCACCCAGTTGGCCAACCTTCTGTGCTCTTTACACCACTGCCTGAAATGCTCCGTGGGTTTGATCAGGAATCAGGATATATCTACCGCCATGCATCGCTTGTTTCGAAGAGAAAGAGCGAAGCCAACAAATCCATACATCAACGGATGGAGGTTTACTGTGCAACAACATGTTGCCCCTCCTCCTACTCCAATGAGTGATTCGTTCGGCTTGAATGATAAGGCTGGCCTGAAGGAAAGAAAGAAGCTGAATCCGGTCCAACGATGCATAAAGAACCCTCCACTGCGAGGAACTGACGGGCCATTTAGTATTGAGTTACAAATTTGCAAGATACTACAGGTTGGCAATGACCAAAATGCTCAGCTGGTTCTCGTTGAAGTCATTAGTGACGTGCCATTGCAAGGCTTGGAAAAGGGAAAGCGAGTGGTGGCGAAAATATATGACCCTTTGTACCTCGATGATGACGGCGGCTTTTTGGACCCTTTCGTATGTGTTGACAAACACTACACCCACGAAGTAGCTGCATACATGGAATTTTCAGACGTCCAGGGCTCCATGGTCCCTGAATACTATGGGTCCTTCTCCTTGGGGGTGCCTGTCGACGAATCCACTGCACGCGACGTCCGTCTCATCCTCATTGAATATATACCTGGGGCTTCCATGCGGGATCTTTCTCCCCAAGAGCTACCGAGACGAGACCGACAGGATATCATGAAGGCTATTGTCCAGTTCGAAACTTTGGCGTACACCCGGGATATTGTTCTCCCAGACCTCCAACCGAGAAATGTCATGGTGACCAACAGCTCTACCCACGAAAAAGCCGTTTGTATTGATTTTGGCGATGCACTCTTCGGCCGTGGGAGTTGTTTCAACAGTTCTGTGATTGACGCGCATCTCCTCCCAGGTACTTATATCTCACCCTTGCTGCGATGGCATGCAGTCTTCAGAACTCGCATGCTTGATTTTGCCGGTTGGATTGATTGGGATTGGCAACCGTGGCTTGAGACGGAATTCAAGCATACAGCTTTCACGATTACTCCAAAAATTCAAGAGATATTCCTTCCAAGTCGTGTGTTGGAAGCTTGGTGGCAGTCTCGAAAGAATAGGGAGCTTTATTGACTGGAATTCTTACTTTACTGGAATGAATAACGGGTGAAAATTGGGCATCAGGTATTGCACGAGAATGGAATAGCATCGTTGGACTAAGTCTAATCACACTTCCTGGATTTGAATGGAGTCAATCTGGGACTTTGTTTCTTGTCATATCCTGTGGCTTCTGGTTTTGATTTGAACAGCTGGTTCGCCGACAGCGCTTGGCTATATGGTGTATTTCTGCCGGCTCCAGAGCAGTCTCTTCTTATTTTTTTTATTATCTTTGTTTGTCGCGTTACTCTCAGGATAATCTGGTTTCACGCAGTGCACATTGGGGCTTGTCTAGGTGAATCTCGACCATAATAGCACGATGTGAATATCTATTCGAGTGAGACTGATCAAGAATTAAATAAATAAGATAAAGTCGATGTTATATATTATATGTGATATGCAATAAGCTGAGGAGGATACGTTTCAATTGAGTTCCTGGATGGTGGACAGAATGCAGCGCTAGCATGGAAAGGGAAAAGATGTCAGTGCTGGCGCGACTCCGAGGTTCCACGTTTTTTAAACCTTAGATCCGTGACTTCCCCATAGTTTTGTACTAGTAGCAAACTTGCCCCCTGATTGCCGATCATTAAATTAATATTGCATCGTTAAGCCCTCTTCTTGCTTACCTTGTTTGTCTCTCCTTTAGTGTCCTTTCTGTTGCTCCTTTCCCCTTTTATTTTCTCCAAATTAATATTCTACTTCATCCAACCCCCTGTCCTTTATCTTATCCAACCTTGATCCCATCCTTTGACCGTGTCACGATCTTTGCAATATTGCCCTAGAATTCTGTCATCTTACCTGCATAATCATTACTTTCGTGCCGTTTAATTTAGCAAAAATTGCCATTAAAATGCCATCTTCGTCGAGGTCAGATAGTTCCAAGGCTCGAAAGCTGGACAACGACAGCTTCGTCGCTTTTGACCACGCTGCGGCTGGACAGTAAGTTCTCTATCCGCCTCTGCTCCCGGACCAGGCAGGAATACCCATGCAGCAATAGATGGTCAGGCATATGGTTCTCAAATCGCATACCAGACTGTACATTTTAGACTTCTAAATATCGAAACTAACTATAATAGTGAGGGAGTTCGCTGTACCCCCTCGGGCTCTTTCATCGCGAAGCCTTGCACTCCCGCCGAGGTTGCGTTCTACGAGTCCTGTGCCCTCCACCCAGCTTTCGCCGAATTTATTCCGACCTACATCGGAAGTTTGACCTCCGCAGAGGGACAACAACAGCCGCTTGCACTCGCCAGTGCCCAGCCGGGCGCTATCGTTCTTCCTAGCTCCGATTCGTCCGACGTATCGACCGCTGTCGCAACCCCCCAACCGAACGGAGGAGCAAATGCGCCCGACGCACCAGCAACTGTGGAACAGAATTGGGTTCCATCGGGCGGAAAGAAGATCGACACAGGATTGTCAATCGTGTTGGAGAATGTGGCATGTGGATTTAAACGACCGAACGTCTTGGACGTTAAATTAGGCGCAAGATTGTGGGCGGACGATGCGCCGCTTGCCAAGCGAGCGAAGCTGGACAGTGTGTCTAAGGAGACGACCAGTTCCAGTTTGGGGTTCCGAATTGCCGGGATGAAAGTGTGGACTGGTGTTAATGGGGAGAACGACGAAGGGGGTAAGACCGACCCGTATGCGACTAAATATGAGGGCTCAGAGGGCGCAAAGGGCGAGGTCATTGAGAAGGACGGCTACAGGCGTTATGATAAGTGGTACGGACGTGCGTTCAGTGACAAGAATGTTAAGGAGGGTTTCGAGACTTTTCTTGCTGGCGCGAAGGCTGGTTCGGTTGACCGCTCGAAACTTATCGCTCGGAGACTGGCCGATGAACTAAAGAACCTGCAGGAGGTTCTCGAATCCGAGGAGAGTCGGATGTATTCTGCAAGTGTCTTGATCGTCTATGAAGGTGACCCAGAGGCGATGGAGATTGCGCTTGAGGAGGAAAAGAAGGTCAAAGAAAACCCCAAAGAGGACCCGGAGGAGGAAGAAGAAGAAGACGATGAGAGTTTTGAGCTTCAGCTCCAGCAGGATGGCTCTTTTCCAGTGGTGGATCTCCCGATCCAGAAAGATGGTCTACCTCAGCAGGCCATTAATATCAGCATCGATCCGGAAACCATTCAGTTGGGTGATTCGGATATTGAAGAGGACGAGGAGGAGCCTCCGAAAGTGCATGATCTCCGTCTGATTGATTTTGCGCACGCCAGCTGGACACCCGGCCAGGGACCGGATGAAAATGTACTCAAGGGAGTACGAAGTCTGGTAACATTCCTCAATGAGCTTGCTAGAGAGTAAATGTACAAGGTTCCATCTGGACATGTATCCAATAGTCGCCGGCGACTGGATATCATACTTGTGCTGTTTACCAATGTATTAGTGAACTACCAAGTAGTGTCAGGATGCTGCCTTCCATGTTGAAGATAGATCTCAGCAGCAGTAAATAGAATAAAGCGATAGCTAATTTCCTTGTAAGGCCGAAGTAAACCATCTCCTTCCCGCATTAACATCCCTCAACCCAGCACTATACACAACCGGAACCACTAGCTAGCACATCAATTGCTTGCCCTTCCCAAGCTTGGTTCACCCTCTTGATAGACTCTCCGATCTCCAGTGGAACCAGAACCTGTCTCGAGCGGTATCTAACGCCTAATAGCTGGAATCCGGAGTGGCTCGCTTTTCAGCATCCTAGGATGTTGAAAGGCGCTGACTAAGCCGATACAACGCCGCTCCGAACAATTTGTACCGGAACTATCGCAACAGCGAAACCAAACCCAGCAGCTGCCAACAAAATGTTCCCCACGCGTGCCCTCCTGGGGCGTTCCGTCTGGAAAGGTGAGTTCTTTCTTTCCAAGCCCACGGCGATGACAAGCCCCAAAGACAGACATAGACCCGCTAACACAATCCCATCGCAACAGGCCCAAACATCGTCCCGTACGTTCATCCCATCAATCAATAACCCTCGCAGACTCCCGAAACAAGATGCCCATAGACATTCGAACTCGGACCTATTATATGATATTGAATAACTGACAGGGCTGGAATCCATTAGTCTCCCTCTCCCCCGGAAACTCCCTCCTCCTCCCGGCACACCCCCGATCAAGACGCAAAAGCGCGGAGCTACGATTCTCCCTAACTTCGTGGGCCTGCGATTCTCGGTGCACAACGGCAAGAACTACCAGGATGTTTTGATCACTGAGGAGATGGTCGGACGGAAGCTTGGTGAATATGTCGCGTATGTGGCTTTTTCTCTCTCTTTCTTTTGCCGGTTTGTCGATGGCTGACTTGTTGGTGTGGATCTACAGGACTCGGAAGAGGTTTACGTATAAGCAGTCGAAGAACAAATAGATGATTGGTTCTGTGTGGTTGTGTGCTCTGTGGGCGACGGGATGGATAATTGCCTGACTTGAGGTCTGTGGGGAGGATTTACTATTCTCGATTGGCGTTTTCGTATTCTTGTATATCTATGTCGCATATGTTGAATGTAAAATTAGCCGTTACTGTCACTGTGGAGTCAGGATAATCAGTATCATTGAGTCTCCATCTTATGATCTATTCTTCGGTTCTTTAACGCATCAGGAAGGAAAAAAAAAAAAAAAAAGACATGGATTCACTGTCGACATGAAGCAGTGCAAATTGGATTATCTCCGTTGATTCTTCACCCTCCCAAACGCCTATGCAAAATCTCGTGTGGTAAAATTTTAGAAGCCCAAATGCAGGATATCGTTTGTCCCCAGCCCAGTATTTACGCCAGTAAGCAAACCCCTTCCAATTAAAGTCGACGTTCAATCTTCAGTCGACAGCGATCTAGAACGTAATCTCCAAGATGGGTATCGCCATTCCCAAACTAGTCGTCGACACATGGAGTATAGTCTCCTGCGCGCGTTGTCCCAGCACGCGGAGGCAAGAATCTGCTGCCATCTCGCGCCTCAGATTGCCCAGCCAACGGCCCATGGAGCCACTCGTTGTAGTACCAAATCGTCCAAACTCTACCGGTAGAACTCGCCTCTCTTGACACTCACGCCGTACTCGCCAACCGCCATTCCCAGATCTTCCATGGTGAGCACCGTCCGTCCTTGCCCGGAGCCTCCTGAACCACCACCGCCAAAACCGGGCCTTTGAATTCCCAGATGTGTATTGGCTTTGCCCTTGCCTGCATCTCCGCCCGAAGCGCCAGCGCCAGCTCCTGCTGCACCTGCGCCAGACGCACCAGTGGGCATACCGAGACCCGACGCGGCGTTAAGACTGCCCATGGGGTTGCTGGCGGAGGAGCTATTAGAAGCCCGAATACGCGCGTATTGGTAAGAGTCCGCAGCAATATCCGCAATGAATTTCTGAGTCGCCAAAGCGAGAAGTCGGGCTAAGTGTGGGGGTGTTTGGTTGGGGCCATTCCCTGGGGGTGGTAGGCCGGCAAGGGTAAGATAATGAGCAGTTACAGCATCAGGGATCTATCGAATATTAGTTTTTGAATGATCATAACCCGAGTTTTATCTTCTAGAATGAAAAGAGCAGGATCATTCCCTAAAGGGAAGGAGAGGGGAGAAAATCTTACAATAGGCGCATACTCATCCATTTTGCCCAGGAACTCGCGCAAACTTGTCTCCTTCTTCGATGGTGCTGCTGCCGCCGCAAAAGCGTCGACTGACGTTGCGGTCTGGATTGGGTTCCCTACCGTAGGGTCTTCGGCATCGGTTGCGTTGGTCATTTTGGTGTCGTTGCTTGTGTTCAGATCAATATCTTGGTCGATGGAAGCGTCCAAGGCAGCACCGTCTGCTGCATCGGGGCCAGGCTTCGGAACAGCTGTCGCCCCGGATGAAGTTGCTGGTTCACCAGATACCGAGGCTGATGATGCTGAAGGCTCTTGGGAGCCAGTCTGTGACAAAGGCGGTGGTTGCGACGAAGGTGGGACAGAGGTCTGCGATGGCGCTTGGTCGGCCATGGTGAGAACAAAGGAAGTACCAGGTAAGGCGATCAGGAGATTGGATTGTAAAAAAGTAAATTATCCGGGTTTGGCAGTGGGCGAGTTGGCACAGGGCACTTCGGGGTCCGATGAATCGCGGCGATACGTCGATGTGAACAAGCGGAGAGAGCTTAGCTTTCTTTACCCGTGCGCGGCCCAACGTGACTGACGGACTCTCCGCGATTAAATTCCGATAAATTTACCCTCTTCTACCATTTATCCTGCACAATGTTATTTCGTACCACTCACGCATTATCATTCCATGTTATGCAATAAAAGTACATCCTTTGTTCCATAGAATCCCCTCCTGTTCATGAATCACCTATTTACTGTTACATATCGAAACCATATATGGAATGTCAACCCGCCATTAATCTTCCAACCCAGATAAAACCATTAGAGATAAGCAGAAGGGCTTTTTGGAGCAACCAGATACAACTGAAAGCTTAGAATGCGGGCGACAAGCAACTGCCCGGGGCAAGAAAAAGAAAGGGAAAAAAGAGAGTGATGGAAAGGTAGCGAGGACAGGAAGATTCAATCTACTGCCCAAGATGCATGTTTGGATCAACGGGATCCTGATGGTGTGGGTGGTGCTGGTGATGTTGGTGATGCTGGTGCTGTCCAAACTGATCTCCATGCACCTCCTGCCCAAGGGTCTGCATCAAATTCTGCTCAGCAGTTTGATCGAATGCTGCATGAGCACCAGCATCAGGTGGTAAACTGGGAGACGCCGACATGCCGTCATGACCGTGTCCTAAGGGAACTGGCTGAGGGTGTGCGCCAGCTAGGGCCATCATTCCTTTGATTCCTTCGACATGAGCTTTGTCTTCTTCTCCTTGCTTCTTTTGCCGCTCTCGTGCTTCACGCTTGGCAGCCTGGGCGGGCGCACGAGTTTTCAATTCACCAGTAACGAACTTCAGGTAATATGGAACTTCGATTCCACTCTTAAGGAAGAAGAGTTTCAGATTGCGCGCCTTGTCTTTGAGCTGAACCTGATTCCGATCTTTCAGTGCTTCACTAATAGTACCTCCAGGGCCAAACATAGCGAGTATCTGACTCCAATGGGGCCCCTTGACACGATCCAAGCCAGCCATCAATGCATTCTCCTCTTCTGTTGTCCAAGGTCTACGCTGGCTTGGTAGGCCCGACTTGCGGCTGCTGGGGGATGACTTCGCCGATGCTGCCATACGAGCCCGCTCGTAGAGAACTTGAGTCGGCTGAGATTGCGAATAATGAGGGATTCCAGGCATGTAACCATGATTGGCGGCTGCAGAATTTGGCCTTCCAGGCATGGAGACTGGGGCACCATGGGTGTATTGTTGGAAATTGGCCTGGATTGGTCCCTGCTGAAAGGTAGGCTGCGTAGGCTGTGGTTGATAACCTGGTGGTGTAGGACTTGGCTGATACTGCTGATGATGAGGGTTCTGCTGAGGTGGAAGCTGGCCAGTTGGTTGCGCAGGAGCATAGCCATGATAGATTTGTGCACCTTGCTGGGTTGGGTGATGGGGTACATGTTGCTGCTGTGGTTGCTGCTGTTGTTGAATTGGATGTTGAGGTTGCTGGGGCGGCGGCTGCTGGGCTTGTTGTTGCGGCTGCTGAGGTTGCTGTTGGTGATGGTGTTGTTGCTGTACCTGCTGCTGCTGCTGCTGTTGTTGTTGCTGCTGTTGCTGTGACTGCTGCTGCGAGCGTCTCAGCCCATGGCCCTGCAATGCGATTTGTGCTGCACGAGCAGCACGAGCAACGAGGTCACCATGCATGTTTCTGTCGACAGGAACATCAGGAGGCTGAGGAGCAACAGGAAATTGTCCTTGAAGGGGAGCGTTGCTTGGTTCTTGCGCGTCCCCGCTCGAAGAGGATGGCTGGCGTCCTTTGGTCATCTTCTTCGACTGAATCAAATTAGTACTTGAGATACTTTTTGACTGAAAGGGATAGCTGGGGCATCGAACCTGCTGGTTACTGATCGTATCAAAATTCTTTGTGACATAGGAGCTAAGGTCCCTGAGAAAATCTTCCCAGTGATACTTGTCTGGCAAGGCCTTCATCGCTTCTTCATTATTGACATCGTTGAGGAGGATATCACGGCGCGACTTGGCGCGATTTACAAAATCAGTTTCGCTTGGAGCAAGTTGACGAGTGCCCGGGCGCCTTTCAAGTAGACGCTGCTCTAAGTCGTCGGGAAATAAGTCGTACAGCAGCTCAGTTCGGGATCGCTCCGTGTTGTTCATTGAGGCAATGAACGCCTGTGTTTTCAGCTCTAGGAAGAGAGCCCCTTGTACTTTGAGTAAACGACCACCCTCCGGAACAAAGACATCGAGGAAGTTATCATTCAGCTCGGAAAATCCAATTTCTTGTGTTCCAAAGATGCTGGAGACAAACGACGCAAGGTTGGCCTTCCTGATGATGTCAACTTGAGAGGACTCGGTGAGCTCAAGTTCGGTAGCAGACAGGAATGATTTTTTGGTCGAGTACACTTTCTTGGTGTGGTCGAAAAGCGACCGCATGGTAGCATAGGCTTGTCCATTCTCGGAATCTGGCTCGGAGACAAAGGAGGTGATATCCTGATAGGTAGATTTTGCCAGCAGAGATAGGATTTGGGTAGACTGAGCGAACGTTAGAACATAAATATGAATTATGCAAAGAGGAAGTACAGTTCCAAGACAATGCTTACCAGGTTGTCAAGAATGGGCAAACTTTGAATTTTAAGGTGGGAGTTTGCTTTGACAAACACCATTCCTTTTGGAGCCGACTGGCCAGAAGTATCGGCTAATTGCTGCTGTCCGATAGCGCATTGTTCCTCGACGCGTTCCGCATGGTTCATGATGCTTGAAATGACGGTAGCTATGTCCGTATCAATGTCCTGGTTTGATTCTGGTGCCACCGTGCTTTCGGCGGGTGTCTCGATGTGACTAGTAGGTTTGTCATCTTGGCGTTCTACCGTGTCGACTATACTAGGACCGAGGGCTGAGGCCAACTCTTCTTCGATTTGATTTCCTGGTCCTTGGTCCACGACACTGGGCGGTTGTGGTGGAAGTGAGAGGTCTGTCGGTTCCGACTTGAGGCGCGGCTTCTTGGAGGCTCGAGGAGAGACGGCACCGTCGTCTTCTTCAAGGGGACGAGACATTTTCGGGGCGACTGTAAAATATCGAGTCAATGATCGGTTTCACTTCATGTAATCATGTAGGAGAGCCTCTTGAGTGATTTCAAGTGAGAGTAATGGTCATTCTGCCCTGCTAGTAGGAACGGCCGGATGGAGCAAAGGGTTGCTGGTAGAACGCGCACGTAACTTACCATTAAGATCTTCATCCTGGGGGATAGAAGTTGGAGGAAGCTCAGAAGAGTCCTGCCCATCAATAGACGGCCTTACAGCCTGTGAATTCACCATGTTAGG